AAAAGAAAGAGTCGTCACTGCCACTCTGTGAGTTCCCCTTATGTTTCATAATATAAACAGCCCAATTTACAAGTCTAACAGGGCGTCTGCAAAACAACTCGCTGCCTGGCGCATTGAGTCGGCATGAATGGTCATTGAGTGTTCTTCTCGTTCTTCTCATTCCATGTTGGGCCTCAACACAGAGGAAGTAGCTGGGCTCCGGTGTCCTGCCACGGAAGGAAGTAGCCCCATCCCTTCCTCCGTTTTCTTCGGGCTTTCCTCTCCCAGGGCCGACCAGTACGACAAGTTCGAATGCTACTGCCAGGAGCTCAAACCGGTGTGGACCGGCAAGGCATCGGTGAAGACGAGAAGGATGTGTGAAAAAAACGGTCAAAGCAGGGAGGTTTACCTAGAGAACTCATGTCAGTGAGTAATTCAAGAGAGATGGAGTACTCAAAAGCCAATGCAGTTACACTACAGTAAACTACAGTACAGTATGTTACTTTTCCTTGGACTCAGGGCAAGGTTTCAGTTGACAGCTAAGCTAATGTCCACTTGGTGGCTGATCATTGCAAAAAAGATCATCACACAGTATGAACCATCACCCACCAGAACGAAGAGAACAAAGACATACAGAATTCCGGGAAAGGAAAAAGGCCAGCCGATCATTGTTCATGTGGCATGTTAGTGTGAGGTGCCCTATTTGTGAAACAGTCCTGGGAGCGGGCCATGTTAGTGTGGACACACTGAGTTTGGCAGGTGCATGGAACACGGTGAGACTAACATGGATCATTTCCAGATACTGGATTCCCTGGATCTTGGCTACTTCTGACGTATTCCATGTTAGCATGCTGCATTTCTAGTGCACCAATCTTCATTCCGGCCTTGTAGTGTTCTACGTTAGTCTCCGGAATCACCTTTTCCTCTCATACCGGTGCTTTCCATAATCCCCGGGACTTCTAACGAGCAGGTGGGCCATGTTAATGAGCATTGAGAGTTGGAGCCACGTTCAATGACAAACTTCGCCGGAGTAACTGTAACCCGTGGAGCCACATGTAAGGCTATCTATACCCCTCAAGCTCTTGCACAGAGTTTCTGACAACCAATAGAGCAAATAAGAAACTACCTGGTTCTTCCAAGCGACCGAACTTGATCTCCCAGTTTGAGGTCTTTTGGGCCTTTCTATTAGGGTCGCTTCGGGACCCTCAAGCTCGATCACGAAGCTGGCAAGAAGCTGGTAGATGAGACTCCAATGTTTCGATCGCCGAGGCAAGAAGACCATAGCCGAGTTGGAGGAGAACATCCGTCAAGCAGAGACGAACCCGGTGTCTCAGGTGGGTAGTGGGCAGATATGGGTAGTGATGGAACACCTGGAAATGTCATAGATGCTGGATCAAACAACCACACTCTCTCTCTCTCTCTCTGTTGATGCTCTGAAGAGAAGGGGATATATGATGTTATATGATACTAGCGTCAACCCATTATACAATCAAGGACCAATCTTTCAGCATGCTTTCTTCTTTTGTGACAGACACTGGAGCGTGAGACATGTATCATGAAGCCACACTAGCGTTTCGTACACAGGGATACACACGGCGCACGCAGTCATGTTGGTTGGTACCTTCCACGGCAAACCATGATTGAACCCGCAGAATCCATGATGGCACTTTCCACCGATGACCTGACACTGGCACGGGACCATGACCTTCGAGATGTTCGAAGCAAACCATCAAAAACAGGTGCGTCTGTGGGGGTTTATAGAAGCCAAGCCAAGCCGCGGTGGTCGATCTCCTGGAGCGTGAACGCGTCCACCTGGTTCTGCGTATCGTCTCGAGGCCGACATCGATAAGAAGAAATCCGAGATCGCTGGGTTGCAGCAAGAGTTGAAGACTTTGAAGGTGAACGTGCGCGAACGCGCGAACGGGTCAGAGGGTCCGGAGGGTCGGGGATGTCGGACACAGAAGGACGTCCGAGAAGCTGAGCTGCCTCAGCTTGAGACTGAGATGACAGGGAAGAACAAATGGCGATGCTGATGTTTGCATGCTTTAGGGTGTGATCATTTGCTAAGGGCTGCTGGTTGGCCGTTTGCTGGTCTGGTATGCAGGGGGGGGAGAAGTGCCAACAGCCTGTTCTTCACCTGTAATGGAGGCTGCGAAAACCTCCGGGCCTCCGGGTAGAGTTTACTTTGTCGTGGTGGGGAGGGGGTCTCTTACCGTACGTGGTACAATGATCCCTTCATGGGTGGCTTCATGGTTCATTGATAGGTATCACTGCTTGCAACTCTACATACCGCCCCGGTCGAAGATGGCATATGCTCGGAAGTGGAACCATCATGAACCATCATTGTTTGTGAAGGAAGAAATGCCGCATGCCACAACATCCACTTAGTGATCATGCTGTCTTTGGAGTGACATGCATACCACACCTAATTGCCACTCTCTGATGGAATCGTTTGTCCCACCCAACGGGGTCTCCCTCTCACCAGTTGAGACGCCCATTCCCGGTCCACCGGTCTTCTTCCGCAGGAGGACCGCATCGCAGAGGAAGAGACTCTGAAGTCCGCGGAGATGCAGCGCGGGAAGGCCGGAGGTTTTTCCATCGTGGCCGATGAGACGGACGCACTGGGGTTGGCAAGATGATGGGGTACCGGGTGAGCTTTCAATAGAGACTCTGAATCCTTGATATGTTTGAACATGGTTTGAAGAATCCTTTCCACATAAGGTGAAAGAGAGAAACTGGTCTGTAACGACCGGTCAGGGAAGGAGACAAATCCTTCGTGCTTCAGTCCTTGCCAGGAACATGAATCCTTCGTGAAGGAGGTCACTGAAGAAGAGGAGGTTCGCTGAAAGCGTCAACATGTCGTACTGATGTGACTTATGTGTCTGTACTCAGACTCTTCAGTCTTCCCAAGTGGTGGTTTGTTCTATCTAGTGACGCAAAACAGTCTTGGGCATGTGAGCCAGGAGCTCTGAGGAAGGTATACGTGTCTCTATCCATGAGATGATGAGTTAAGAAAAGATCACCTCCCATCCATGTGCTTTTCTCCATTCACGAAGTTCCAGAGAATGTAGGCAGGCACCCAAAGGAGCACAGCTTTTTTTCCATGTCTTCTTCGACTCCTCAAGATTTGTGCGACGAAAACCGCTTTGAAGAGTTCAAGGAGGACCAAGGAGGATCATTTTGTGAAACTGAACAGCTGTGCTGCGCATGGCTGGAGGTTGGAGGTTGGAGAAGTTCAAAACATGTGGAACAAAGCTATGTCTGTTTTTGAGGGGCCCATGATGGCGGCCCATTTTCCACTTCTACGCTTGTGACGGGGAAGGTAGACAGGCTTTTCCCACCGAACACACATATCAGTTTTCCTTTAACGGAGCCAGTGAGAAGGGATGGCCGATGGCAGCAGGTCGTCCAAGGCATTGATGCCGCGACCACGGTGTGGGGCCCCGCGGGAATTTGATTGATACAGTAGCGATGGCCTCCTTCCGACTAGCGATGGCCTCCACCCTAGGTGCGCAGCTTTTCCAATGACGCTCATGAATCATTCGTGGTACACGTCGACAGATCGAAGCTGTCTCTATAGCTCCCTAGGTGTTTTTGGTTTCGATTCCTCCAATCTAGATGGAAGGACCACACAGCAGCTGCACGGCAGATGTTGAGTTAAACATGAGTTAACCAGGTCGGGTCTTACGGGCTTCGCACCCGGAGCCTGACTGCGGTGGGGACGTATGTGCTCGCCCGCGGCCAACGGGGGCTTTCAATTCGGTCACAAGCAATTCGCGGAGCTTTTTGTGGGTCGTTCGTTGCCGGTCGGTGCTTCCACGGTCGGTGCTTAGGCCCTCAAGGGCGGGGAACCCACGGCCTTCTTGCAACAGACCAATAAGGCGGGGAGAGCGAGAAGCTGCTGGCGAAGCGAAGGGGAGAACGCTGACAAAGATGAAGATGATCTATAGACACCTACCATGTATGGAACAACTGGAAGATATGCCGATCAGTTGGTGTGGTTTGGGGGATTTATACCATATTAAGCCCTATAGATACATGGAGTGTCTGGGTTATGTACACTCCGACGCACACATCACGTGGAAGTGGAAACCACATGAAACATCATGAAACCACCCTGTTGGCTTCAAGATGCTTCAAGGAACGCCGTCGTTCTGGGTTTGGAATGGGTGCACTTGTCACATTTTTGCACAATCGGACAACATTGGTGGGAGCGGGATACAATCCACTTTGAAACATCCAGCCCCTGAAATTCCTGGCCTGCCAAAGGAATCAATTCATCAATTCGCTCCCCCCCCACAAATCTTTAGATCTTAATGTGTTGTCAGCAATCCGAGTTCCTACAATCATCGAACTCGTTTACCAATCATCTCTAAGCCTCAAGGCTGTTTGGGCTGTTTGGCAGGTCCGGAGTCTGGGTTAGGCCATGGGGAGGCAGACGCGTTCGAATGGGACATCCGCAGCGCTGAGGTAGGTCGAGTCAGGGGCGCCGGGTCGATTGGCACATCGATGGACACCCCACCCCCGGGTGCCCAGGTCGGTGCGACGGTGCGTCGCCAAACCGAAACGAAAACCCCCACACCTTCGAAGCCGAAGCCGAAGCTCCGTTGCCCACCGGACTCTTGGCCGAATGGCCCGCAGAATTTTGCTCGCGTGGTCTCGTGCGTGGTCCGGTTCGGGAGAAAGATTGGGCGGGCCGGAGCATGACCACATGCCACATGCCGTAGCGTAGTGAGAGGAATGCGGGTTCAGCGGGCAGTGTTCCCAACATCTTAATGGTTGGTAGGATGAAAAAGTCGAACACTTCATGCAAGAGTTTCATACACGTTCCCCTATTTCGCCGGACGTTGTGACACTCAGGTGTCGCGCGTCGCACACGCAGTGGAAGCAGTGGAGCCCTTGGTGGAAACGCACGAGCGGCAGTGGGAGCGGCATGTTCGAAGAACACTTAGGATCAATATGGCAGGGGCCACGGTAGTGGGTGCCGCACTGACGCCCCTTAGGGAGCCGCTGCCACTTAAGGGCCCACGGCAGTCGGCCAGGATCAATATGACCTACGGGTTATAGCGTAGACCTCCAATTGACTTGATCTACCAACCTGTACGGGATCGATTGACTTGACTTAACCAAAACAACTGGACACACACACACACAACAAATAGCTGGGGCATGCTCGGTCCAACAGGTAATCGAAGTAACCAACAGAGGTTAAGTGACCATATAGGACCCTGGGGTACCTATGGAATAGTCCATAGTCTTCTTCAACCTTTGTTGGAATAACAGTTGTCGTGATGATCGTGATGTTTCAAATCTTAGTTAAGCGGCAAGGTCTCAGTTTCTTGGGTGCTGACCACCAAAAACGACTCGCCCCCATGCGGAGTGGGGATTTGCGGAAGCTTAGCTGCCCGCGATCTGCAGCTTCTGCGGCTCAAGATTCCAAAGAAGAATGGGAGGCCTTTTATCCAGTGGAAGCAGTGGAACTTGGAAGGACTTCTCGACGGGTCGTGGGGCAGGACCTGTCGTTGGGGGGGTGGTTCTGTGAACGATGTGAATCGAGGATGGCGGACTTGCGGGGCCAAGTATGCTGGCCCAAGTGGAGTTACCAAGTGAGAGCACCTGTTGGAATGACCCAGTTCCGACGCCAATTTTACTGACAGAATCCACGGGCGTGGCAAACCGACATGGCCCCCGAAGAATCGGATGACCTTTGAAATCCAAGAAGCGTGAACTATGGCTTGACCAGATATGTATGCAATAAGATAATGACTTTAGCTAACATCGGTTTCCCCTCGCCGACTTCCTCCCAAGTGTATATATAAATCGATAAGTTCTTGAGATCCCTTCGCCCGGAGCGCCATCTCGAGCTTCTCCCTCACTCTAACTCGCCAAACCATGTGGGGCACCAGAAATAGACAAATTATAACACATTATAATATATATATATGTATATATATATAGCTGAGACCAAACTTTTCTACCAAGACACGTTTCTCCATCAACAGAACAGGTTCATCAAAGGGGAACATTGCGGCAAAAGGTCGTGGAGAACCTTATGCGGTTTTGTGCAATCCCGCAATCCAGGTTCTTAAACTACACTGGAAAAATACGACTCAGAAGGCCCCTAATGGAAGAGATGTGCATGCTGGTTCCTGTAGAATGGTCGGGTGCGAAGCCGCTTGCAGGTGAGGTTCCGCTCCTCCAGCCACCATCTCAGTTCCTCCAGCCCCATCGGACCGACAGCCGGATCTCTGGAGGACGACGGCTCTGAGGCTGTCCAAGATGGTCAGGATGGCAGTTTCCATGTGAGTGGCAAAGCGAAGGCGCGCCACGGCGTGAGCGGAGAGGGTCAGCTTGACCGTTTCCCACCGGTTCCGTTGGGCAGCCAGCACGTGGGCGGAGCGTTCGGGCTGGAAAGCGATGCAAGGCACTCGATGAAACACAGGTCCGGGACCACACCAACCCCATGAACGACACTTCCGGAGCGAGTCTGGTCCATTTATACTACTTATAGGTCCAGATGACTGAAGGAATTGGCGGATACACTATGCCAAAATTTCCAGTTCCTTGCTCATCATGAAACACATGATACGATGTCGCACATCCATACAACTCCCTGCTGGAACCTTGTGTATGACCTTTCATCCCTTCACGTTGAACATTTCCGGCTGCAATTGGTATAGACCGGCCTTTTGATGGTTTAACTATATGGTTTAACTATGGTAACCATATAACCCACATTGCAAATCCATCCGATGGTTTAACTATATATGGTTTAACTATAGTTTATCTATGCCGTTAATCCATCCGATGGATTTCTTTCATCACCCACATTCGTGGATCCCAGGGCGATGCTCCGGTGTGTGCTCTCTACAGCGAGGCCATCTCGTCAGGCCTGTCACCGCTCAAGGAACATCGTGGGGGCTGAAGCGGCTTGCGGCTTGAGATAGATCCGATCCTTTTCCAGTATTATATAGGAGACTTGTATAGATATCTAACACGAGAAGATCTCCAGGAGTTATCAGATACCTGTAGATACTAGAGTGACGCTTTTCTCTTTTCTGCAGGTCACCTTGGTTCACTGTTGAGTTGATTCTGTGCCGCTCTGACTCTGGGAGGTGAATATTTTGAAGTCACCTGCGAGCAGCTGAAGGAAAGTGCTTTCATTGGCATCAGCCACTGGCCGCCAGTTTGGGCAGGGTGGCTTTTCGCACGGCAATGGAACATCAATTAACTGGGAGAAAACACCAGACAAACAATCGATTATGTAACTGACTAGTAACTGTGTATGCACAATTGGAAGGACACTGGTACTTACTTTTCCCTTGAACCAGGCTTTGGGAATCCTTCTGGCTGCATTAGATTCTAAAATACGACGAGGAATCCGTGTGTGTGCGTGTGTGCGCGCGTGCCAAGAATCAAAGCCAAGAAGTAGACATGATTTGCTGTGGTTTCCTTCCCCAGTGGGAGCCCTCTTTTGTGAATCCCTGCGGGCCTCGGCGCGTATCGCGAACCGGCGAACGGCGAACCTTGGAAAGGAGTTGCTGAGTAGCCAAGTGTTTGGACATAAACTTGAGCATGGATGGCATGGCATGGCTTTGAATCGTGTCAAGTGTCCTTCTCAGCCTGTGATTCCAGCAAGGAAGGGGGAACCTTCGCAGGTTCATGTACGCTCCCTGAAATCATGGCTACATGGATGGCATGGCCTCTCGGATGATGACCGTGAAATCCGAAGACCAAGCAGGTGGTGCCATCCACTTCCATGAATTCTAAGATATTTCAAGGAATGTAGCACGTGCAGGGTGTGAAGGCTGCAGAACGCACGTGTGACTCGAGTTGTGGCAAGCAGTACGAGACGTCGTACCATGCAGAAGAAGCAGCACTGCTTTGTCGTGTGGCTGGTGCTGACTCGGGTCTCAAGGACGGACCGGGAGGTGGACGGTCCGGTGGACCCAACAGAGATGTGTAGATCAGAAGATGCCCAGGAACTCAGACCACTCGTCCCAAGAGAGGTTGAGAGACCTGAACTAGGACCCTGGTCTGTGGTATATATGGGATGGGCGACAAAGGGCTGTTCAACCTCTCTTGGTCCCCTTCCCTTTCGAGCAACATCGAATTTCTGGATGGCCCACTACACTTCTGTGAGGCACAGAAGCGGCCTTCGCCAAGGGCTACAAATGCATCTTGGCCTGGTTTCCGGATGAACGCTGGCCAGCAGGAAGCAAATACATGATGCAAATTGGCTGCCAACCTTTCCCGAACCTGTCTTCTTTGACAGACTTCACATGCCAGCCGAAACCATGGGTTTTGTTTGCAAAGTACGTAGTTCTAGTAGGTCTTCTACTCTTCCAGGGAGGTGTGCTCACAGTCAACAACCCCAGATGCATCCCCTGAACCAGAACCGCCCACATACTTTTAGACTCCCGGCACAAGAAGGTGCTCCGCCACACCATACGAATAACCCAACCCAAGAGTAACCATCCAACCCAAGCAATCTTTCAGGGTCTCCTCCGTGTCTCCCTCAGCCGCGTCTTGCCGAGCCTTCCACCTTCTTCACATCAGGCCGCGGGCTGTTCTTCGGCGGTCCCGGGAACCTGGCGAACGGCGGCGGCCTGCTGCGGGGCAACTTCGGCGACGGCCGCGTGGCACAGCCGCGGAACGGCCGCGAGAGCTCGGTTCCGAGCAGCCAAACGAAGCCCATTTGGTCCGGGATGTGTTGGGTGGGTACTTCCAGCGGTTGACTTCGGACATCTTAAACTTGGAAGCAACCTCCAAGTGCTCACATCCTTCCAGTTGCGAAGGTGCCGTTGGATTCCCTCTTTGTGAATTTCAGTTGGCCGCTGTTGGCTCGTCCTATTATGTCCTACCAGTATATAGGTTACTACCGTCTGTTTCACTTATCCTTGGATGGTCCGTCGGTCAGGCCACGTTTGCTTGAGTGTTTGGCAACCGCCCATTGGCCAAACTCAGGATGCTGTTACAGGGAGAGTTCAAGATCTCTACAAACAGATACTCACAAAGCCTCTTTTGATATTGAATACCTCTGGGGGCTCCAGCTTCGCGTGGCCACTCGGCTGAAGCTCCGACTCCGAACGAAGGGGTCCACGCGACATTGAACAGCACCGTGAGTTGGACAAGGTCTTCAGACCGGCAGTGTGGTGGGCTTCCTGAGCGACATCGAGAGCTCCACGGTGCGCGGTGGGACAGACGAGTGACCGGAGTGACCGAACAACAAAAACCCGGTCGCCGAAGGCAAGGAATCTCCGCAGGGCGTCCGGGCTTTTCATTCGGTTTTGGATGGTTTTGGTGTTATTTCATATTTCTTTAAACATCAGGTTCATACCGATTCATAACTGGTTCATAGAGTTTGGGTGTGGCTTGATCTGCTGGGTGGGGATGCTGGTGGTGTTGCGGCGCGAGAGAGTGTGCCGGATCTTCAAATGGGTGTGTATAGTGTTTGAATAGGGAGACCCCTTGCAGGACGACCTACTGTAGAAGGGAAATAGACCAAAACCTCCCTAGCATAGTCCAATGTTTAGCTGATTGGTCGCGTCGAACGCGTGTCACGTGGCGGTGAGTGAGAGATGTCTCAAACATACCGTGACAGCCGTGACATTTGATCTTCCACACATTTTCACACCTCAGGGAGACACCTTCTTCGGCAGCCTGTCGCACGAGTATACCAGTACCAGTACATGACTATTTGATACCATTTGCTTCAATATCCACGTCACTGAGTACTTTCTCAGCGCTAAACGCATGTGGATGTCACGCCAGGTGAAAGTCACCGTCTATCAAGGCGGCCGGTGTTTGGGCCAGGCCTTCGAATCGCCCCTTCAGGAGAGGGGCTGAGTCGGCAAAGAGCGGAGATGGCCCAACCAATCGACCCATGAAGCGTCGGAAGACAGTGGACAAATCGCCGGGCAGCGTTGTGGAACTATCATCTTCCAGTATTGGATGATGACGATATAACTATATAACTATATATATAATTATATATATACATATTTTGTAATACACTATTAGAAAATTGTAGTGATAATGCTATAATATTGTATAAACATACAACATTGTTTATCATTTTGATATTTATACATTTATTGTTTATATTAGTGTATGGGATGTTGATAACACCCCAAGTCCAGGGACCCTGTTGGTCATGACCCTGGCAGGTCATGCCTGTCAGGGGCAAGTGGTAAGAATGCGTGGGGAGGAATTCTACAGAGTTCAGAAGGCCTTGTCGCTCAGACTTCAAATGTGACTAACTCACAGTTTTGTGATTCCTTGCTAATTGCAACCTTGTCGCAGTTCATGACATGTGGCAGCGGCATTTTCCCTCCTAATGGATACATGGATAACAAGTCGTTTTGCAATGTCTTGCAAGTTGATGGATGTCCAGTTTGCCAGGACCCTTCGGCTCCAATCTTCCCTGTGATCCAGGCCAAGGTGACCTGATGTCCGGTCTTTTCCTCGACGTATGCAGTGCTGTCCGGGGTCCTCCGCTGCGGGATGGCGGTGATTGCCTGATAGAATTTGCTTCAGAGTATCTGGCTGTGGGTCCAAATCAGACTGGTGCCAGTTCCAAGGGTTCACTTGGATCCTAAGGAAGCCAAAACCAGCCGGCGCAAGGTTGTGGAGCCAACCAGACTCGCCATGAGTCAGAGAGTGCTGATTGCACCGCCTTCCAACATGTGTGCAGTTGATAGTTTTCTTTGGGGGCCTGTTACAAGCTCCTTTTCAATCCATTGGGTTTTTAGGTGGTTTTCCATGGGGGCGAGCAAGGGCACATCCATCTCCTGCTTGCGCGGAACAAGGCGGACGGGGACAAGTTCAGGATTGTGAAAGCGACGCCGCCCAAGGCGCGTGGGAATTGGGTCGGGGCAGTGCCATTTACCGAACTGTCCAGACCTCTGACACCTGCCAACTATGCAGAATTTTTGCCTTTTCAACAAAACCAGTGCAGAAGGGTCACCTATATATTCACCATTCCAACTATGGGTCTTCCATCTGACATCTTTCACCTTCCAACTTTTTTTCAACAAGACCAGTGCAGAGTTGGAAGATCCAGGTATCTGAGGGAGCTGTCCATTCTCCAGCGAAGCGACTCCCCACTCACAGCGATTCTGCAGGAGCGGCGGCGTGAACCAGCTGGTGGGTCGCACTTTGCCGTAGGCGCCTGCTTATGGGGCGGATCTGCGAGGGCGACGGCGAAGTGGGGGAATGAAGCTGGTCTTCACCAGAGGAACTGCTGGTAGAGAGTAGTCTTCACCCAAAGGTGGAACGTTTGCAGCTGAAATTCACCGGTGTTTTTCTTCTGTTATAATCTCTTATATACTGTAATCATATATATATATATACACAAGTATATAGTATATATATATACACAAGTATATATAATATACACACAAGTATATATATAATATACACACAAGTATATATATATCATATATATATAATATAATATAATATAATATATAATATATAATATATAATATATACTATAATATATATATATAATATAATATAGCTGGAGGGCATACCAATTTCCTTTTCTTCCATCTCTCGGCCTTTAATCCGGCACCGTCGGCACCCTCAGCACTCCAAGCACTCCAGAGCGAGACCACTGCGCCGATTCCGTCTCGTCTACCCCTTGCTGCAGGGACCTGGAGAGTGGAGAAACTCATGGTGGGTCCTGAGTTGGGTGAGTTTCCCTTGGCCAGCAAGATGGATGGGAAGCCGGTGCTGCTCACCATCAAGGAAGGGGCATGGCTTTGTGGAGGGGACTTTTACTTTTTCGTGGTGGCACGTGGTGGTTTTTTGGTCACTTCAAAGTCAAAAGCTCTAGGATTCTGGTGGAAAATTGTAGGGTGACCTGCTGGAGGGATCCAATCATTTCTTCTGAGCGGAACCGAAAGCACCATCCAAACCCATCCGAAAGATCTCAGCTCCACACCCTCCCTGCCGTGACGGTCTCGAAACGGCTGACGCCCCTGCCGGTCTCGCGCGGATGTGGGCCGAATGGAGGGGAGATGGAGGGGGAAACAAAGGTGACCGACTGAAGTCGAGGACCAAGGTGAGAAGAACCGAACATCCTCTCCTGTTCTTTTGCCCATTGGTGTGTAACTGTGTGTGATGCGTGTGTATGTATTTATACCCTACGGTGAACTGAGAGGTGGAACTGAGATGGGTAGGTGTTTTTTTCTGGACAAAAGGGACGGAAGACGGCAGAACGGATTCTTTTGATCCTAGTCATCGAACATTTGTGGCCAGGAGGCTGAAGACAAGAAGTTCCACCTGAGTGCCAAAGTTGCAAACACCATCAATTTCCAGGTGGTCCTCAAGCTCCTTGCTCGATGACTTCAGAGAAGGGGATGCTTCTTCAAGCTGTGAAAGTACGACGCAAGGAGGAAACAAGATATCCAATATGTTCTTGTGCACCCAGCTACGACGTTCGATTTCAGTGACTCCCTGGACAAAATCCAGCAGTCAGAGACTGACAAAATCTATGATTTCCTGTGGCCCATGTCCACCCTCTGTGCCATTGAAACGACTGAGTCATGATGTCAATCGCGTCAACATGCTCTGGTTCCATTCATGTGGAAGCCTGAGTTGACTCATCAGGGAAGACCCTTCAGCAGCGCCCTTCGAAGCCGTCGAGGCGGGGTGCTAGGCCGCACCGTGCCGCACACACCGTCGGTGTGTGTTTGGGGGGGTGGCGAAGAGGTGGGGTTCGGTGTAGAGACCTGGGCACAGACGCCCCGTTTTTTGATGAGTCGGATGAGCCTCGGATGATACAGGGAGGGTACGATGGATGTGCTTCTTGGTTCCTGAGGTAAGAAGGACTGTTGGTTGCCCAAGAGTTTCTGCTGCGCAATGTCTAAGGTTGTCTGGTTGTCTTGAGCTGGCCGAGAATTTTGAAACGCATGCATGGCCAAACAAACACACTCCATTGTCTCTTGTACAAGAAGGAGCGGAGCACATATGAGGCCTAGCAAACAATATCTATGAGCAGGGTTGACCTGTGGCTCGTATTGAAGATATTAAAGGGTCCCTAAAATGCTCACTTTTAGGGCGACTTAATCGCTGTTGATGGCTTTCTAAAACAGCGGCAAAGACGTCCTTGGGTACATAATCATATAGTGTTTGACATGATATCAACTGGCCCGAGCCTTCAAAGACCACTAAAGGAATGGCTGACCTGGTGGCGTAGTGTAAGAATCCTTAGGTTTTTTTAAAGACCGTAAAACATTGTTCGAATCCTCGAGACTGGATCGCCTGGGATATCGCGATAATCACACGAGAACTCCTGTCAACAGAGATGAACAGATGATCCGAGATGATTCCAAATGTGTTTCCCTGGGACTTTTTCCAAAGATGTCTACAGATGTCTACAGATATTCCAAGCTTCGATTTCCAACCAACCGCTAGCACTCAGAGCAGGTATTCGGATCATTGGGCGCTAAAACCAGGGTGTGCGCCATCTTCTGCGCCAGCGCTGTCTGGTTAGACAAGTTAGCCAACAGTGGATGGCGCAAGCCAACAGTTCTTTGTGTGTATTGGAATAGGGAGACACCCCAGAGATCTCCTTGAAGGAACATAGGCTAAAACTCAAGGCAATTGCTGAAGGGGGTCTCCCTGGGAGGTGGGACGACCACGCATCGACCGATAGCACCTTGGGACGTGGGATTCGGAGTGCTTGAGTGACAAGATGTGCACGGGCTGCTGGGCTGCTTTGCAGCAGCGCGACTTCTCGTGAATGAAGAACCCTGCATCCTTTTTTTTTCAGCTCTTTTTCTGAAGGGTAGAGCACCTGCATTCGTCCAAAACCGGGATCGCGCAAGCTTGCAGGTCGCCGGCGGCATGTCCACCATGATGATGGGCACGCCCGGCGAAATGGAGGCCATTTCGCGGTGTGTATCGCGCCGTGGGGAGTCCAGTGTCCATTTTTGTGTTTTTGGCAAACCCTACTGGTAGTCACGAGATGTAACAAGAAGCTACTAGGTTGGAGGCCATCGCTATTAGGTTGGAGGCCATCGCTACTAGTAACAAGCTGCTTTATAGGTTGGAGGCCATTGCTACTAGCAACAAGAAGCTACGAGGTTGGAGGCCACCCCTATTTGGTTGGAGGCCATCGCTACTAGAAGCTACTAGGTTGGAGGCCATGGCTACTAGTAACAAGAAGCTACTAGTAGTTCCTGGCTGTTGGAGTCCCAACGCTGTTGGATCTTTGCACCGTTCATGTTGGTGATGTGCATGAGTTCGGTCGGAGGGATGGGGGTGAGGGGTGTGGTTTTCCTTCAGGTGGAGTCGGTGCTGAAGCTCTCGGAGGTGCGAAAGTGGATCTTCAACGAGAGCCTGCTACTCCAAGGGCCCACGCTAGAGGAGAGCGGGAGGAGAGGGGAGAGATGTGGAATGGACATGGAGGACCAGTGAGTTCGAAAGGGGTTTGGATGGGATGGAATCGTTTTGTTCGCAATGCAAGACCTCCTCCCAGAGCTTTGCAGTGACTGTGACTGGGAAGGGCCAGAGGTCCAAGAGTCTTTGGAACTAGATTCAACAAAACAATGCGTGCCTTATCTCATGTCAACATTTTGTGTTAGAAAGCACAGCCAGACACCATCCGAATGACCAGTCTAGACACCTCGCATGATCTGTGGGATGATGTTTCTTCCAGCGCTGCCAGGTGTCCCTTCTGCCTGCAGTGGAAGAGATGCCGCCGGCGCGATCCCCCGCCCGGTTCACGTGCGCTCGAACCGGTCCACAGGGCAGGTTGTGAGTCGTGCCCTGTCGGTATCCTGGTGCTGTGACCCCGAGATACCCAGAGTCAAATGGGCATGTAACTAGTAGCTTCTTGTTCCTAGCAGTATGGCCAGGAGCTACTAGTAGCTTCTTGTTCCTAGTAGCGATGCCCTTGTTACTAGTAGCTTCTTGTATGTATCCTCATTGAAGGGCAGTCATGTTTTTACCTTTTGAGACGACATGTCGACGACATGAGCGGAAATGTGGACATACCTGGAGTTAATATTTCATTGTATTTCATGTGCTCAAAGATAGGCATGATGGTCCAGGTTTCACAAAAGAGTCTGCGTTTTCCACACAGCATGGTGACAATGACATAGCAAGTACATGCAAGTACAGTCAAATGGTGACACCACTGGTTTCGCTGGTCCAAAGGTGTCTTTTGCCTCGCAGGTCAATGAGCCACTATGACCATCGAGCCAGACTTGCTTGTCACATCAACTCTTGCTGGGGAGACCGTCTGCCTGAGCTCGCCAAAACGGGGCCTTCCAGGAGCGATGCTGTGGGCGATGTTGCTTCCTATCTAGACTCCTTAGAGCTGCTGCATGTCACCTGGGCACCTCGATAAAGGCGGTGCCCCAGTGGCAGACCGGCAGCGCCAGGCGGCGCCGGGCGTGAGTTCGCGCCGCAGCATTGCTTTGACCGAGAAAAAGCCACCGTGTGGTGCGATGGCGGCCCGTGGCTCTTTCGAAATATGGTGCAATGATGTGCCATGCGAAATAGATCCACCCCATCGCTATTGCCACATCATTGCATCAATTCGGTCGATGAAAAGGGAATCCAGTTCCCCACCTGGAACTCCCAAAGCACCGCCGGAAGTTCCTCCCAAAGCACGATGGTGTGTGTTCATCGACCCCAGAGCTCTGCGCCAAGCTACCAAAGCTACCAACTTCTGCAGAATTGCTTTCGCACGATGGGTCGAAGGGGTTCAGCTGGCTGCCAGATCAGACCTCTCACCGGTGGGTCGAAGTCTCTCGGCCTAGGCCCCGCGGTCTAGGCCCCACCTATCCTCGGGGTGGGCCTATCTCGGACTGACGATGGTCCATCAGCATGAAGCTGCCAGGTGAGCAGCCAATAGGTTTATATTTTTTCTAGATTCTACCAGCTGCTTCCAAGGGGTCACCAATGGATATCTCCACACTAGTTACAGGTCTCCATTGGGCACCTCTTGGAAGCGCTAGGTATAGTTCATTATTTGTAGATTCCATGATGTTCCATGTAGAAGCTGGGAGCAGAAAGGGTCAGGCAATTTTTCAAAGTTGGACACGTTCAACGTTTGTTCTTTATATATACATATATATATATACCTTGACCTTCAAGGGGTGTCCAATGGAGGTCCCTTAGTGGTGTAGGGGCTTCCATTGGTGACCCCTTTGAAGGTGCTGGTATACACATGTTTATCAGGCTCCCATGACGATACTTGTGGCCTTGGCTGTTCTGGTTGATTTGCCGTGGCCACTGAGAACCTCCACATGACCTCCGATGCGAAGCAGCGGGTGAGCGCCTTCCTGGCGAATAAAGGCATGGCTCTGCGAACGTGGCTCTGCGGTTCCGTGGACGGGCTTTGCATGGTTCTTCATTCACTTCTGGAAGGTCTTGAGGTGGATTGCAAGGAGGTGAGTTCCGAAGTGAGTGCGGGTTAGAGTTCCCAGTGGGTCTTGAGCTAAACGTAGCTAGTAGTCAATGTAGACTCTTGAAAATTCATCAAACCACCCCACCAAGGAATTCTACCACCTTTTCATCCTGGGGGGGGGAGGGTAGGTTGTACAACCTCAACGATCTCGTTTGCATTGGTTTGGCCTTTTCCCAGGTCTCCATCAGTGTCTCATCCCCCGAACAAGACCCCCCATCCTTTGGAGGTCCCAACGGCGTTTTCGGAGACCCGCGCCCAACGGTCCGCGAAGCCGCGCGCCCAACGGTCCGCGTGGCGCGTGGGTCAGGTACCGAGTCGCCTGACATGGTGCGGGTCCCTAGGGAGCGTGGAGGACTCCCGGAGGATGAGTCCACGGGGGCGGGGAGGCCTTTCAAAGGGGGAGGGCTGAAGGCCGCCACGGTGAGATCTCCGCGGTTTACGACTGAGGTGTTTGTTTTTGTTGTGTGTGTTTTTCTTTTTTTTTCCTGAGCTGTCGAAGTTGGTTAGCGAGGAGGATGCTTGCGGTCCGTTGGGGAGGTGAAAGTTCGACCAGCGACTGTTGTGGGGCATGCACAGACCCCCAAGAGATCCTAGACGGACGACGGATGGGGGTCCATAGAAACTACCGACCTTAGTCAATTGTGCCATCTACTTTGACACCACTTAAGTCGATGGTTGATACAGGATGATGGACATGGAGGCCTAGCTTGTATGTCCTCCCATGTGTGACTTATCGCATGGGTAATCCCTTCCACTCAGTCACAAACCGATATTCATCGTCACTGGTGTTGTAGATGCCTTTGTATCGGCTGTCCAAATGAGTGTCACTAATCGATTGCTAACAACACAAACAATACAGTGTATTATTCTTTCATTGCGTGAATACTTCAGGAGGAAGGAAGCTGATTCTTCTTACCAGGTCTTTAAACAAAATCTATGAGGATCAGCCGCGATCGAATTGAGAAGAAGAATCCACTGCGCGAGGCCACTGTGGGACGGTCAATGATCACCCTCTTTTAGAACTCTATATCAGTTGCAGTAAATGGCATTGGAAGGAGGAACATCGAATGTGGTAGGTGACATAAGTGTCTTGGTAGGTGACACATGCGGAAAGGTCTGTCAATTCAGAACCTTCAAGAAACACTTTTTGCTCGTGGTGTATACCTAGCGCTTCCAAGGGGTGCCCAATGGAGACCTGTAAGTAGTGTGGAGATATCCATTCGTGACCCCTTGGAAGCAGCTGGTAGGTGACCTCCATGACTAGCTCCTTCGATGATCTTCCGTCTGGGGGCAGCTTCGTGCTTAGGCGTTGGCACCTTGAAACAAAGTACCTCGGTTTAGTACCACGTCCGATTCGCCTTGCCTCTAAATGGTCTACTAGATGGGAGGGTCGACCGGCCTATCCAACTTCCCAGTTATGATGGAACCTTCTTGTGTGGACAAACTTCTTGGGGCGCACCGGGTGTTCGCTTAATTCGTACTTGGTAATTCTCGACCGCTTCTACTACTCATTTTCATTCATTGTCCCTCCTAGCTCTCGACTCGAAATACGGTGGTCTACACACATATGTCGGACTTGAGGCCATTGACAGACTTCTACATTAGGATGTGTGTCCCATTTCCACCGACTCAGGTGGTGGGCATGTTGTCGGTCATCAAGGACGACACCAACAAGGAAATCAAAGTGGAGACGGACACCGAGGACCGAGCTGTGCATGGCGCCGAGCGGTCTCCTTCGGTGTCTACAAAAAGATACAAAAAGCACCACTCCCCAGGGGTCCACGTGCCAGCGATCCTCACATACACATATATGATAAGATACATATTATACATGATTATAACTATTTGTCATATTTCTGGCGTATGGCTCAGAACATCTTAGCAACCAACACACCAGCTGCTTTGGGCACTAGAATCACTAGACTTTTGAAGGTTCATCGCAGGCCGCAGGCCAGACCACCAGCCACCAGTTCGAAGGGCTCCCGGTCAAGCGACTCTGGGTAAATGTCCGGGTGGCCTTAGGTGGAGAATTCGCCTGAAGACCTCATTGGTCGCATCTCATGGATCGTGCGCGCGCGTCGAATGGTCTTGATCAGTCGGCGCCATGTAGATCTGATTGAACTTTCGATGTTTCTTCCTTTACTGTACAAGCCATACTCGAGTCGTTGGTCACCTGCCAAACCTCTTCCTCTCAAGTGTGCCAGTGTTGGCTCATCGGCAGCGTGTTCTTCGCTCATCAACTCAGCTCATGAAGAACTTCTTGCTCCTCTCCATGCTCCTGCTCGCTGTACACGGCCGTGGGCCGGGCGGGGGCGCCCGGCCGATGCCGTCCACCGGCGCAGGTGCAGGTGCTCCGGCTGGAGGGAGCTGTCAGAATCCCTCTTGCAGCAGCCCACCCTGTGCGGCCCCTTTACTGGGAGACTTGGAGATCAGCATTAGAGGTTAAAATGTTTTCCACGCGAACTTCATTTTATGTGCTTTACAATTGAGTTACTTGGCCAAATTCAGTGAGTGTGAAAGCTTTGCCACGTAATTAGTGATTCTTTCCCGTTCTTCTAGAATAGAAATATACTGTAACGTAGAATTTATAACCATGACCCATATCATACATATCTCATCATATCTCTCAAGCAACTTCTAAGGAGATGTTGGCTGTACCACAGTGTCTGGAACCGAGACCTACGCACATGAGCTCTTGCCTGCTGGATCCACGATCAACAGCGGAGCACACATCTTTGGACCGTTTGAGGCTGGTTTCTCGTCACAGCAGGACAATATCATCCAGACTTGGGGCTGCTCAACTCCTTCAGTTGCTGGGAAGCAAGAGTTTCTTTGTTCCACATATGTCACCTGTTTTTAGTGGTCATGGAGAGTTTGGCCTGCTCAACTGCTGTTGCTTGGACCATCTTCAAACAAAGTGGTCGGATTTGCAAAGTGGAAGCTGTTCTGAATTCTTCTGAGCTTCATCAGGTTGTTTACGACAGTGAGGGTGGGACAGACATTAGCATTGCCGAGAAGAAGGTGGCCTATGCCTGCAACATCGAGTTTCCTCGGCTTGAAGGTCCTCGCGAAAAGATCAGAATTTCAATGAATTTGAATCGTTCTTGTTTCGACTTGGGTTTACTTTACGTTGCCCGCAGGTGGCACCTACTACGGAGTGGTGGGCCCATGTGGCGGCCACACCAATGACTACCACTTCCACAGGAGCTTGAGCTGCTTGTACTCCCAGGCGGGTGGCCATTCGACCAAGGTGGGGGAAACAGCCTCCCACAGCCTCTATGGGACACCTGGGAGTGCTGAAGCTTGTTGTTGTTCTTTTGCTGCGGCTGCCCGCACGTGCGTCCGTTGTAAGGAACGGATCTAGACCGGCACGTGACCGTGTTCTTGGCTTTGTGCAGGTCCTTGCGATGTTAGTGTCGCTTGATCTCCCATGCGCACGGCAACCAAGGAAGTGGGAAGACTACGACTTGCAGCGGCTTCCCTTGCTGGACGCTTGCGGTGCCCACATTGGCCCCACACCTGAGTCCTCCACGCCGGTGTACCACTACCATGTCCAGGATCAGGCTCCATTCACGGTCGGGTGCCATGGACCCAGCCAGAGTGGTGGTTTGGTGAGTGTCGCTTTGTGTCGAAGTTTGTATTCCGACTGTGATGATGATGGTGGTAGTGGCACCACTATCACCACCAAGACAGGCAATGTGCAGTATGACCGCTTTTGCCCGTGCTTTGATGCCTCTGGCTCTAACATGGGCACCAACATTCAGGAACTGCCAGCTTTAAGCTCCAGCGAGATCTACTATTCCATTGATGCTGGTGCAACCACTGCAGCCACAACGACGGTCAACACCGATGCCACAAGTCTCACAACGACGCCTGCCACAACGACGCCTGCCACAACGACCTCGACAGACCTCACTACAACTGCTTCCAGCAACGATGGGAGCTGTAGCCAGTCTTGTAGCTTCTTTGACCGTATGTTGAGGCGCTGCCACCCGTGCCCCCCGGCATCCCAGCCAGGCGCCAATCGCCCACCCCGCGGGACGAGGGGGGGGCGGCGGGAGGGCCGACGCTGAGAGGCTTGCTTTGCTCCAGCTTTCTCCTCTCCCTTGGCTGAGATCCTATGGGGATTCTGGACAAGTTGGGGGCAGTGAGCATGCTTTGAGCAGTGCTGCCAGCCAAAGGCTAGAAGCTCGGAGTTTCTTAAGTGTATAGTCTCTCCATGGAGTGCCATTCTGCCCGACAGATTGGCTGAGATCAGTTCTCGTCACCCCATCGGACATTTTGCTGCTTCGCGCAACGCACTAGGAATGCTCGGATGTGGCAAGGATCCACATCTCTTAGGTCTTCCAGGCCACTGATGTTGGCTGTGACGGCTAGAGGAGCAAACCGGGACGCTGGGGCCCAGTGCACACGTTGCCGATCAGGCGAAGTCGGATGCTCATCCATACTCTGGCACGGGTGCGAGATCCTCTCCCTCATGAAAGTCAATTGCGGGTGAAACTTTAGGGTTTTAGAATCTTCTGTTCTAATTACCATTCTACCTCGTGAGGGAAGCTGACACCTGAAAAGAATCTCCCTGCTCGCTGGATTTAATGAACCAACACACAGTGGTTCTGAAATGACATAGAGTTCGATCGTGCCAGTGTTCGATCAGTTTGCAGCTTTTCTCCAGAGAACACCGACACTGCAAGAAGACGCATGGAAGATGCATGGGCAAACCATGAGTCCCGAGCCGCGCGCGACTTCCACGAGGAGAAAGCAGTAGACAACTTCCACGAGGCGAAACCACCGTCGGTCCCGTGCCGTCCGGAGAGAGTGCCCGCAGGGGGTGGTGCCCGCAGGTGCCCGCAGGCGAGCAGCGCCCAGGAGGTTTTGTGGGCGAAGATGCCAGAAGATCCCACCCTGCATGCTGAATGGATCGACCACCTGAATCGATGACCAGTGGAAGCTGACCTACCCGAAAAAGGACGGGTCAACCATGTTGGGGTGTCCCATAAAGCTCACCGAGTCTTTCCTTTCCAATATCCAGCATGCCGTTTGTGAGGTCCTGTTAGATCCTTGGCCCTAGTCTTTCTTTGGGACGGCCACGTGGAGACCTCTGGGACCGAGCTGCGGACCTGGAGCTCCCAGGTGGAAACCGCCAAGAAGACGGAGATCTCCACCCTCCTGAACACCTTCGCCTCTCGGACCCGGACGAGGCAACAATTTAAAGATCTTTTTCACAGGTAAGGATTTTATAGCACGACTTGCGGTCCCTGTCCGTCACGGCCTTTCATAGGCAGTGAATATAAGGATGTATACGCTTTTATGAGGCACTCTTAGCTGGCGCGTGCAATTTTAATCAATAATATTGTGGTATTTTGTTGTTCCAGATTGGTGAACACGATGGGATGGGTTGGACCGAGTTGGTGAGCTTTCCGATCCAATGACTCAGCGAGCTTGGCCGTTGGTCGTCCGACTTGGGCGCGGCCTCCGATGGAACAGCATCGAGCGCAGAGGTTGGACGATGCATGCGGTTCTTCCACTCCCGAAGCCTCCAACCACCAGATGTTTGAGGTCCAAATCTATGAAACATCCATCAAGATCCTGTAGAATTGGTGGGAAAAAAAAGGGACACTGAGACACTGGAATTGGTTTCTCCTTTTGGGGGGTACTCCATCACTCATTTGGGAAACCACATACACAGTCCGATGAATCGGTCCCCTCTCAGGAACGTAAGATGAAGACCATCGGAGAGAAGCAGGCGAGTTCGTCAGCGACGAGGATTGAGTGCTGAGGACATGCCATGGATTTCGACTGTGCTGATCTGTGCGAGTTGTTGGCACGAGTCAGGCACTAACATGGATTCTCGAGACCACCAGATGTCGGCAAGCAAAACGATGGCTGAAACTTGAAAGTGATATATATATATATATAACATCATATATATATATACTGTAAACCCAACGACGGACAGAGCTGGAAGACTTTCTAGTCTCAGTTGCATCAAAGAATGTTCAGAATCCTGATTACACTGGGCACTTTCTCAGATAGAAGCCGAAGCCTGGATTCATCTGGATTCTATCATTGTCCATTTGTTGGATTCCTTGTTGCGTTAGGCGGTTTTGTGAGGCTCACCACATGCACGGGAGGATGGGAGGCAGACCGCTGTGACCGCTGCGCAGGTGGAAGCGGTGAACCTGAAGCGCGAGCTAGCGGACCAGGGTGATTCCATCGCAGATGACAAGCGTCTTGGCATTTTGGCATTTCCGCAGAGATGAGATACTTGATGATATTTGGCTATATATACACATACACTATATCTTATAATTGTACAGTATATACATACACACATATGTAAGTCCAACTAAATGGCAACAACTTCCGTCAATAGATATTTGCGCGGGTATAGCTCTTCAGAGGACCTGCAGACGGCTCACAGCACCCGTGTGGGATGCCGTGCCCTCATGCCGGTGCAGCTTTCGCCGCCGGTCCGGCCGACTGAGGAAGATGCTGGCGGAGTTGAAGAAGAGCTGCACAAAGAAGGCGATGGGATTCTTGGGACCGGACGGAGAACGAGACTAGATGTGTCCACAAGTGACGACTTGTGGTGGGTGGTTGATCCGGACCCAGGAGATTCGTATATAGGAAACATCTTAGAACTTAGGAGCTTCCGACTCCTCTGGATGTGTGGAGTCGAGTCTCCAAGTTCAAAGGCGGTTTGCTTTTGCCACCTGAAGAGGTGCAAACTACTGTGCGAATGACCATCCGATCTAACATCGGCAAACATGGGGTCTGTCCGAACTGACCTGTAACAGCCAGCAAACAAGAACGTCAGTTCTTTTCTACATCACAAGGCCTGTAGTGGTCCCATCATCATCCACTAAGGCGCTGGGAGCTTAGGATAGACCCAAGACATACATTTTGGCCAGGCCACTCCCTTCCACGGCTTGGACACGTGGGTCCGAGGGTTAAGGTTTTGCATCGTTTTGCGGGGATATGACATGAGCTGTACTATACATAAACTAGAAAAACAACAACACCAAAAGACACCTGATTATTTTCTAGATATGTTTGGTATAAAAATCCAGATGTCTTATGCAAAAAGACAATCATAAGACACGGAACGATGCCTGGCTCCCTCTTTCCTTTTGTTGCCCAACGGACGGTCCGATGCCCGGCTCGCCGCCTTCATGGCCTCGGATCGATCGATCGAAACGAGGCGGCAAAAACGGATGAAAGCGACCCGCTGAAGCGGTTCACGGCAGCATGTATGATGATGTATGCAGAGGCTTCTGCAAAAAGTATGTAGAGGTGCCCCTTTGATTTCGTCTGCTTGGTCTGAGCAGGAGCCATTTGGAAGGCCATCTAAGTCGCCTGTGCCCTCGCAATTGATTGTAGATTAATGGAAATTCCTTCCCAAAATTGAGCAAGGCCCATTCATTTTGTCCCCCCCCATCCAGTCCTGGAAATACCACCCTTCACATCCCTTCACCGCTCCTCTTGCTGCGGAGTAAGAACTCACGCTTCAGAAAGTCACGGTCTCCTCGCGTCTGCTCGCCCCATGGTGCCATGTCCGCGCCGCCCAATTGGCGTGGCGAGTTCCGCGGCTTCGACGAGGGCGCGGCCGGAGGCGCCTCCGCCGCGGCGGCGAGCTCCGCGGGCTCCGATGCGGCGCGAGAGGAGCTGGAGAGACTTGGACCGGCTCCGTGGGGGTCGTTTCGGGTCGGGGGGGGTCGGGGTGAGGACCGGAGCTGGATTCAAGACGTGAAGGATGAACGTACTTCCACTGGTCATTAAGTCAAGTACTTGCAGCAGCGAGTGTAGGATCAGGAGATGATAAGCTTGGTGGACTTATTATAGTATATAGGTTTTGTTTTTTAATAACTGTTTTTTATTCTTTTTCGGTTTCTCTTGTACTGTAGGGGTGAACCTAGATGGTATAGCAGTATAATAACAACACATAACCAACCTTTACAGTTTTCCTTTATGCCATGTCACTGTACCAAGTGCATGACTTTCTATTCTAAAATGTCCGAGTGCAGCTTTTGCCTCAGCACCAAGAAGAGCGGCGGACACAGCAAAACAGGGAGTGTGCTACAAACTGCCGTTTCCAGCCATTTTTTGTTGGCTGCTCCTGTTATTCATCATACCTGGACCATCCTCCAGGGTGTGACTAACTGCAAAAAAACGGATCGTAGTGCAGGGTAGTCAGGGTAGTGTACACCCAAGACAGGATGGTCCAGGTCGGTTCTCCTTTGATCGCCCCTTTCGGCGCGGGACGCTGAGGACGCGGTCCTCGGGCAAGTTTCAGCATCCGGACAAGGATAAGGAGAGACGGTTTGGGTCGGAAGTGGCCCCAACTGGGACGGTTGGGGTCGGAAGGTCTGGGCGTTCTGCACCTGAAAGTCCGGTCCGGACCGGACGGGTTCAGTTTGATCCGGGAAGGATCCCAAATCCATCCAAGTGACGTCCGATTCCTATAGAAACACATCTAAACACCATGGTTCAGATAACATGGAGAAAGATACAGACAAACTCAACTTCAGTTTCGCAGCGTTTCGCTCTTCGATCAGAGACACCCCAGCACCAACCATCGGCTGCAGGAGTGGGAAGGCTGGCAGGGCGGGCTGGGCAGGGCACGGAACAAGAAGCTACTAGGAACAAGGGCATCGCTACTAGGAGCAAGGACGCTACTAGTAGCTCCTGGCCTTACTACTAGGGACACCCCGACATCAATGGGAGTAAAGTCAATGTAAATTGCACCCCCCGTGCCGTTGATGTGAATGGTTTCTGGTCAATATGGTGTCATTTTCCTCCCTCTACACAAATTGCACAGAAAAACCCTTTCTATGTTTTTTGTATCTTTTTGTACGCTTTATGTCGGCAACAGGGGGCAATCATACTCTATCAGAATCTTGGAGAAGAGCTCGTCGTTTTTGTGGGCCGAGCTCGGGATGGATTTCAGCTCGTTGGCCTCTTCAAGTTTCCGTTTCGATTTCCCCGTTGAACCCGCTCCGTCTACATCCCAGCTCCGTCTATGTTTGGACGGGGAGAGACACACTGACACAGTCACTGAGTACCAGGATCCGGATCTTTCCTTTTTGTACCCGATACTCGGAAGCCCAGCACCCCTTAGAGAATTCTAGGGCTTAGAGGGTAACTAGCTTCTGAGCTCCATTGCGATGTCCTTGGCTACCTCGTTTGGTGATGTTTTTTCTTTTGGATGTCACCCTACAAGGCGACCCTACACGCTTCAGCTGTTTGCTGTGTCTTGGTGACAAAGCTTTTGCGCTGGGACTCCTTTGCCATGTCAACGAGAGACAGCCCCCCCTCCTTGGCCTCATACTGCAAACGATCCTTAAGTGAAGATTCCCATGCCGCAAGAAAAGGAAAGTCGGCCGATGCAAAAGGCAAAAATCATATAGGCTTAAAGTTTAAAGAGGCTTCAACGAATCAGCCCACACGAATCAGACATGCGTTTTGGGGCATTTTTTTAAACGTGAGACTCCTTGGGGTTCTCCCCAGGACTAGGACACAACGATTCATCCTTGAGCACTACCTGTCTGGCAGATGGAATGACCAAACTGACCCTTTCGAATCTTCCAGTCGGCGCAAGGACTGACATGAGCCATCCTAAGTCCTCGGATCACCCGCATCAAATGGATTGGGTCATGGATTTGCAGCGATCGCCAAATGGATCATCATATGTGTATTATATATATATATGTATTGACAATATGTATATATGGACATATCTATCTGTCTGTCTGCCTGCCTGCCTGCCTGTCTGTCTGTCCTGTCTGTCTGTCCTGTCTGTCTGTCCTGTCTGTCTGTCTGTCTGTCTGTCTGTCTGTCTGTCTACTGTATCTATCTATCTATCTATCTATATCCGGAATGGGGCTGAAATCATCCCCAAACCGCGCAGGTTTAGGTCTTCATTTTGGTTCTCCAATGTTGGGATCAATGGGAGACATCTTGAATCTCTGAGGACTATTCGTCATGGCACCGGCCGGGAGCAGCGCTATGGGCCTCGCTACCGGGTGCGATCCGGCCGGTGAAATCGCGTTGGATTTGCTGTGGGAACGAGCAGTTGTACATCCAGAAACACACATGTGTGCTTGCACGTCCTTTCAGCCGTGGTTCCATATTCCTGTTTTCCAAACACCTCATTCATAATGGAGTAGGAACCCACTCATAGCCTAAGACATTAGACAACACCTCTTGCGTATACGACCTATCTTACTATATATTGATAACCCCCCCAACTCATCAAGCAATGCGCTGAAGTCGGTCTAGAATTTCAGGCATATGTTCATAGATGTTCGAGATCATGTCTTCATTCCTCCAGAAAGCAGGGTGTCCACGGACACCGCTCAGTTCCGAAGGCCTCTCCGGTGTTTTGGGCCAAACCGGTCCTGCGCCCGAAGCTGTCCGCCAGATGCTCTCCTGTGGGTACAACATCGACGGCACCCAGATTTGCACCGCCTCGGAGGACCGGTGGTTGGGCGCCGAAGTCAAACCGTCCGACGTCAAAGCGGGGTCTTTTTTGAGGTCCAACTGACCGGTAGGTAGGGGATTCTTCGGTGTTCTGAGTTGATTGGCCTTCTCAACACCTTTGGGGTGGTGGACCTGGGGGTGTGTCTGGGGTGGAAGTCCTATGGCAGTCCCATGGAGTGGGTGGCCGCGAGGGTGGCGGGTTCAGTGGCGGTTTCAGTGGCAGTCTGCAGTCGCGACCTTGCTGGAACAGATACCGAGAATTATGGAGAACCATGGAGAAGCCGAGCTGGCCAGACATTTTCAAACAAAAACCGCGCATGAGGTTGGACTTGTCTACGCACCAGGAAGGACCCTTCTTTAGGTTTAAATGATCTGTTTGTGCATGTGTGTGCCTCAGCTCAGCTATTTCAAGCTCTGAAGTGAATGGGTTTGACCGTCAGGGTACCGCTGCGAAGGTGATTGTTCCACGTCGCCCGCAGGACAAAACCTGCCGGATCTATGACCGCGTCAGCCAGAAGCAGCTGCTTGGGACATGATCCAGTCGTCTCCTCCAACGACATGAAACGACACCTCGGAAAGAAGCTTTGTGGCCTGTTCTTGATAGTAGAAGATTCATCATTACCCGGAAATTGGTCAACTTTGTACAGACAAACCGTCGCCCCCTGTCATAGAAGTAGGTCCCCACAAAACATGTATTGAACACCGTGCCACTATCTATTTGGGGACTTTGGGGAAACACTCTATGGGGACTTTGGCTCGCGTCGAAGTTCAGTTCTGCTTGTGTGTTGACCTATTGGCAGCTGACCGATTCGCTGCTGCGCTTCGAGGGAAAGAGACATGCATCAGCGATCAGGACATGAATAGCTGAATGGACATTTCATGCGGTTAAAAGCAGGAGAACAACATGAAAAGAGTACATGCATCCAAGTAAGAAAGGCCAGTAGGTTGGAAAGGCATGATGCAGGTCAACAGCAACACAACGCCCATCTAACCCCCGAACCGCAGCGGAGCCCGCTGCGCAATGGGTTCTCTTTTTGCTTGGCAATGTTTCATCCTCGTTGCATCTCTTGTGCCAGCGACTTCTCAAGAGTATTTTACAGTACACAGCGCTGTCAACACGAGCAAGTGCATCAGTGTTCTTAACTGGCGTATCCTCGAGCTTGCTGACTGCGAGAATCATTTGAGCCAGAGTTCCCAGGTTTGGTATTGGAACCAAAGCTGGCTTGTGAACCGGCAATTCAAGTACAAGGGCGAGACCCAATGTGTGAACTTCTATGATGCGAGTTTCGGGTACCATGGAAGACCGTTGAGACTCAACAGTTGCGAGGCAGGTGTGCCTAGCATGGAGTGGATTTGGCAAGATGGTCGCATCAAACATGTCCATTCGGCCTTTTGCTTCGATCTGCCTGGCCCCAACTTAACTGACTTTGCCATGTATCTGAACTTTGTTCAGAGCGAGACTGGCAACATCCCGCTGCAACTCGGAGCTATCGACTTCATGACTGACCAGAGCTTCATCCTCTCCCCAGTGCCAGGGACGCCTCCAGGCTTCAACCCAGCAGTCCCAGCACCAGGCGAGCGGCCTTTGTTGAAGTCACCCCCAGTGGACTCGTGTCGAGATGGATCTTTTGGAGAACGAAACCTACCCCATCTACATCGCTGCTTGATTGCATGGCATCGCTGGATTCCAGGCGACCATGTGGCGTTCGTTGCTTTTGGTCCGAGGTACATGCTTTTTCAATGTGTGGTCTGAAGGCCTTCAGAGCAAATCCAATACTAACACATCCCTCAATTCCCTGAAAACGAGCCCGCGGCGCAAGACATCCGCGAACCAAACCTTGCAAGCTTTGAACTAGATTAAAGACAACAAACTTTAAGAACCTAATAGTCATAACACGCTCTCCAGATACACATGAAATACTAGTTCCATGTGCTATTAACTTAAGTGTGATCTCATTGTATGCAGGCTGGTTGCTTTCAATGAATGCAGGTCGTTAGGTCATCAGCTTTCTTATCCCAAAGTCTCAGCCTGGCCAAGGTCCACGTGAAAAGAGCCCTTGCCAAGGTGGCAGGGTTCAAGAGCTTTGTGTTTGCCCACCTGGCTATTATGTGCATGTGTTTCGCAATGTACTCGATGGAAAATGGGACTATACGTGCTGCTTGGGCGAGGGTGGCCCTGGCGAGAAGTGTGGGGATTGGCAGTTCATCGGTATCGTGGCAGCCAGCATGTTGGCCTTAGGAATATCATCGGAACGTTGGCTTTGACTGTGGCTTTGCATCGCCAACCATCCATCGGACATGCCTGGGAAGAGGATCGGTCGGATCGGTTGCTGGAGACCATCCGAAATGGTGCGCACCTACACCGAACAGTGGCCCAGAACAGATGGTGTGTGACCCTGGCAGACCTGCAACAGTTCAAACGGCTGGTTTTTCAGGCCGTGCGGAAGGGAGTCATTAAGCCAACCGAGCGTGACCAGTTTCTAGCCTCCGAATCTCGTTCCAAATCGCAAACGACCCCCGAAGCGCAGGTTTTGGGGAAGATATTCTTTTTGCCAAACCCGGATGCTGTAGGTAACCCATAGCCAAATACTCAAGCTCTTCAATTATGGCAACTGTGTTCTTTTAGTCTAAGGACGCCAGGGACACGCGTTGTGACTAAGGACACCAGGGTTGGGCCTTCAGTCTACACAGTGGTTGATCAATTCGTCAAACCAATGACCAGAGCTGCAGGGAATGTTAGTTGGGCACTGATGAAGCACCCTGAAGGTTTCCTGGCATTTAGTTATATAATGTGTGTTTGCGTGCCTTTGGCAGTGCAAACAGGCCTTCTTAAAGGAGTTTCGCAATTCATGTTCTTGGTTTCAGGTTGCAGCGCAGCCAAGGTTTACTGTGTGACGTGTTCATCACTCACGCTTGGGCTGAAGGCATCTACGAATTTGTGGACAAAGTCACACAGTCGTGGCCGCGCGGAGCAACAGCCGCTTATGTGTGCTTCTTATCATACCCTCAGAACCTTGACATCTCTGATTTGATTCAAAGCCCAAGAGAATCACCTTTTGCCAGGGCCCTAGGAAGCTCGCGTCTTGTGATTGCAGTCCCAAATCATGTGTGCAGCATCTACTCGTACATTTGGTGTGTGTACGAAGCTTTCTTGGCCTTCATCTGGGACAAGCGAATTCGGGCTGCAAAAAGCCCCGTGGTGGGTTGGCTGAGCATGCTGCGAGTCTCATGCACCGCTTTTGCAACACTGGGCGCCTGCATTTTGATCTTGATGTCCCAGGCGACCTACTACGGTTTCACCGCCGATTTCGTGCATTTGGTGCGTCAAATACGATTGGTGAGCATCATCCTGTCGGCTTTGTGTGGCGTTTGTATCATGGTGTTTTTCGCATTGGGGAAGCATGCGTGGATATCGTGTCAGATTGCCATTTTGGTCTTCGCCGTCGTCGTGGAGACCCGACTTGGGGCCATACGCTTTCTGATTTCTTTCTTTAATGTCTTATTGACCTTAGTTCAGAGAGAACCAGTATTCTGAGAAGTTGTCACGGTTTGGGGCTCCCTTGATATGAGGCAACCTCAAAATTATCATCAACCACTTTAGTAAGGGACGTTTCATCTCTGTGTTGCTTTCGTGATTTTCCTTGAACAACGATAGGGGACTGACAAAAAACGATACCCCTATGTATACATACTTGCAAAATCCAAAACCATGGAAAACGATAGGGGACTGACAAAAGTGAAACGAAAACACTCCAAGCATATATTTTTGACGCTAACTCATATGCGTGATGGCTACAGTAATTTTATGGGCCTTTTTTGAGCTTGCGAGTGAAGGAAATGTTTGTTGCGGCAGATCTTTGCTTGAATGGGGCTACCGATCCGCCAGTGATTTGCGTGTTGCTGCTGTCAATTCTTGCCTGCGGTGCCGTGGAGGGAGACCGCCGGCAAAGTGAGGAAACTTGTCGACAAACCCAAGAATTGCGGCGAGGTTTCGCGGGGACTGTGGGAGCCTCCGAGAAGATTCATGCCTTTGTCATGTTTGTCAAACTGCTTGTAAAGTGTAAAACTCGTGCAGGAAATTTGTTCCTGAAAGCGTGGCGAAAAGCTCGTCCGTAAAAATCCTTGGCTCAGTTGCTTTTGTTCATTTTCGTTCTTACAGGAAAACTTTTGCAAGTGAACCTACAGAGGTGCAAAGGTCATCGCCGCATACATTCGGGTTGTCTAGTTGTGGCTTCAGGATTTTATGTCAGGAAAAGGTGCAAATACTGCTGAGGCGAAGCCCAGAGCTCCAGTCCTTCTGATTTGCAAAACATCTTGGCCGAGATAGAGGGGCACGCCAGTGTGAACGCAGTGGACAAAGTGGTTGACACGCTCCTAGCATTGGGCCTTTCAGGAAAGGAGTTGCGCCGAGTGACCGAGCATGTGGGGCCCCTGGGCAATGTATCGGTCTGGAGCAAGGCCCTCTTCGTTGCAAGTTCGGGTCTGATTTGCTTCCAGTGTTTCCAAGTGTACAGGTACAGGATCCTGATTGATACCTCCACGCTTCACTACATATTGCTTGGTGTTGCTTTGTTAGAAGCTATCCTTTGGCCTGTGATCTTCCTACTCTTGCCAGTGGAAAGGAAAACTTTTGCTGCGAGATGTTTGCCTTTGTTGCTGCTGCTTTCCCCTGGATTTGTTGGCCTGTGGGGGTGCTTTCCATACGATGCAACAGCTCACTTTGGCGTAATCCCTGTCATCCTATTGATTACGCTCCTTGGTCCAGCTCGCATAGCGCAGATCCCCGTGCTGGGGCCAGCAGCGGTTCGCCTAGTCTTTGCGCGACGACCCTGGAGAACCAAGGGCAGTGGTACCAGTTTCGAGGCCACGACCGTGCCAATGCCAGGTGTGTAAAAAATGGGGCATTCCAAAGCACTTGGCCCAGAGAGCCGATTCGGAACGGCAGCGACCTCCAGAAGATGGAGCGCTTCCTTTTTGGAGCACCAAATTCTTCAAGGAACACAGCACATATATACATAGATGGTCGGTTTCATACCACCGCCAAAGGCGGAAAACCAAAACAAACCGATGTCACCTTGTCGACTGAGTCGAAAAGTTCTTGCCCCTTGGATTGTCACAAGGAGTCGAATGTGTGTGGTGGGAGTTATGACTTGGTGTTTTTTGATCTTGAAGAGTTTGAATCAGTTTTTGGTTCAGCATGTAAACAGTTTTTCTACACATGTTTTAGTTTGCCAAAGCTGACGCTGAAGTGCTAGCCGAAATTCGCCAGGTTCACATCAATTGGGGCGCCTGTAGAATGAGCGGTTCGTTTTGGACTGGCCAAACTTTTCAACAATCGACCACTATATAGAGGATGGTCATCCATTCAATATTGGGGAACTAACATTATTAGACACTGCTTATTGGGATTATAATCATCCTTCTAGATCCTTCTAGAAAATCCAAGTAAGGAATCCAGGACCACAATCTACATGAGAAATTGCCACGGATCACCGTGGGGTAAGTTGTCACCATGCCATCGGGGAGTGGCGTCCCTGTAGCCGTGGCGAATTGTGGAAGACAACAGGCAGGTTTCAAATCTGCGAGCTGAAGCGTCCAAGGGTGACAGTGATGCTGTCGGCTTGAGGATGCTTGAGGATGCAAAGACCCACCTCCTACCTTGGATGGTTCGACTTGGACCTGAACAACCCGAAAAAGTGATGCTTCCAGAGACTCCACCAAGAAGACCCGTTCTCGGAGGGTCCGGCGATCTCGTTCTGCTTGGCAATCTCGGCCCACGCAGCGCCATGTGTTTTAAGGCTTCTGAAGTTGGTGCATCAGGAGCTGGTGCGTTGCGCCGCCATCAGTCACAGCGGTCGGTGCCTCGGCTGAAGAGTTTTTTTTGGCAGTTCCTGTTTTGGCATCGCTGGAGGTACTGGAGTGTTGAGGGCAGGAAATCAACAAGTGACTTCGGCCGACATCAAACGGGTTTGGAATTATAGTGAATTATTTTTGTTCGAAATGACTGGGCCAAAAAATGCATGACAGTGCGAGACTTATAGAAGAGGCATGCCAGTGTTTACTTATATATATAGTAAGTATATGCGGTTTTATTCTATTATTTTCCCTGGCACTGCCTGCTTGCTGTTCATTTTTCCATTATGGACACGGTTTCTGTTTCGGTGGAGGGCTGTCGTTGGTTCTGGAGGTTTGCTGTTGTTTGATGCTTGACGTTTGTTAGTCGTATTCAAGATGATAGTATGATAGAACATACTGGGAAAGTGGTCGATACTTGTAGATGTCTCCCACAGCTGTTTGTTCAAGCTCCTCTGGGGCTTGATATACTGGTCCCCAGTGGGTTGGGAGTTGTGGAACATGCCCTGGTCGCTTGGTCGAGCACAACTCATCTGCTAAGTCTTAACCGTTTCCTGGCAGCATAAACTTGCATACCTGTGCAAAAGCTAGCACTTTAGTCCCAACTCATGTGCGCATGAACTAGTAATGGAATGCTGGAGCTGCCGCAGGCATATTGTGGCTTAAATTCTAGGATGGGAACTTGGATATTGAAATGTATATATAACTATATAATCTTCAATAAACTGCAAAGATTTCTTTTTCACCTTCGACACCACTTTTGTTCCTAACTCATTTGCCAGCGGACACCCACTGTTACCCAGGGGTATGACTTGCATTTGTCATCCATAATATCCTTTCTCAGGTGTTTCGTGCATTTTTGACTATATTTAATTCCTAACTCATCCCAAAAGCAATTTTTAAAAACTGTCCGTAAAGTACCAACTCTCATGCGACCAGTATACCCTTGCTTGTTGAATAGAGAGTTCATCTAAGAGATAGCCCACGTACTCCCACGTCGACCACAAACATCGACCATCATCGTCCAAACGCGTCATAAAAGGCCTCCTTCCAAGTCTCAGGCGCTGGTTCCTCCAAGTCATTTTCCATGAATCCAAATCCACTGAGCCCTCGGACCTAGAGCCATCAAACCTAGCCCCCCTATACTCAAACCTAGCCCCTCTCCATGAATCGACCCCTGCTGCCATCCGGCATGTTCGACCCTTGGCAACGTTGTTGAAACAATAAAGTCAATGGTCTTTTATGGTTTGATTTTATTCTTGGTATTCTCTCCCACCTCAAGCCAGGTATGTCTGCACCGGCAGCGATGACCAGCACTGCCGGATGTTTCCGATCTATCCGGAGGACCTCCTGCGCCCGTGCCGGACGACGGCTTGCACGGAAGCCGGCCGAAACGGGATGTGCACCTGGAAGAGCAGATCTGCTGGGCTTTGGGAAGAACGAGGATTTCTTATGATTTCTGTGAAGCTGGCTGGTTTCCTGGAAGGTCACGACCTCATTTTCTGTTGGAACCTCCCTATCCCAATTCCTTGGAGCGCTACACTAGCGCTCCATCACGAGAGCCTTGACACCGAAAGGAGACGTGTCTCGGTCCAATTCCTCGCACTCGGTCCAGTTCAGGTGGTGATCTCACCCAATTCCCCAAGCATGTCAGCATGTCAGCCTCAGTCCCAAATGGATGTTTTCATGTCCGCATTTTTCCTTTATACTATAGGAGTTTGGGGTGTTTTTGGGTGTTTTTAAATGTTTTTTAAGATCAAGACTTGAAGTGAAGGATCTTGGGCATAGGATGTCCATCTGCAGATCCGTTTTCAATTGTTGGTTTGCTGGGTTTGTGTTGTTTCCGTGCTGCTGTGCAGGACCATCCAGAGTTGAAGAAAGGAGAGGAACTCTACTGGCTCCACCATGCGGGATGGTTAACCTCCATCACCTTCGGCCAGTATGTTGCTGGGCGCCAACGTTGGGCAATTGGATGTGAATGGGCCATGTGGTGGGAGTCTACACTCCCTGAAGTCATCACGGTGCGTGGAGAACGCGTTTTGCCTGAAGACTCGGATGACCACTTTCCATCCGAAGGCCAGTCCCAGGTGGTGGTACCATCTACGAATCTACTTCCATCATAATCATCATAAGTTCTTTTGCACCGGGGGTGAAAAAAACTCGAAAACATGCCAAGAGGTAAGAGGATGGGAAGTTTCTTGAACTCAGAGGTTTCAGGTACCTTCGGAGGATAGGGGCTTGCGGTTCAGAGATCTTCAAAGTACTTCGTGGAACTCAGGTAGATGCCTGGCATGGTCTTGGACCCCTCCAGTTGGATCGATGAATGTCTTCCAAGTCCAAACAGACTGGAGAGGCAGAAGGTATTTTTCTCCAATTTCAAGCCCCCCACCCGACACAATCCTGGAATCTTCTTTGTCTCCACTGGTCACTAGAGCAGGTGTCGGGAAGTTTGTAGAAGAGTTGTTCTTGAAGCATTGAGTTTGTTTTGCTAACTTGGGATTTTCGCGAGCTTCCACTCCAGAACACACTGGAAAATCAACTGTTGTTTGTCTCGTCTCGCGGGAGCTATTTCGTGGTGTGCCTCCAAGATGGCCCCTGACTCTGCCATTGCTACAACTTAACATCTTACAGATTGCCAGGACCTTCCAAGCTTCTGACTAATGGACCCCACACTCGACCATCCAATGGATCTCCATTGCACACCCATGTACTCTGCTTAGCAGCTTCTTGCTACTAGTAGCTTGGCAGCTTCTTGCTCCTAGTAGCGATGCCAAGGAGCTACTAGCTATAGCTTCTTGTTACTTGGATGGCCAGACAGCTTCTTCCTCGAGGATCGGCTGCTGTTGACCACCTCTCGCGATCGCGTGGCGCGGATCTGGGACATCGGCGCCTGGGACGTGCCGTGCGGTGCCGAGGACGGGTGGCGGAACGAAGGACGACAACGTCCCATGGACACGTCCCATGGAAGTGGCACCCACCCGTTTGGCAGGCGAAGTGGCACATACAGCCCCCCCCCAAAAAATAGTAGCCTCCTGGCTCAAGTTGCCAAAGACCATTGGTGTCAAAGCCTTAGAAATCACGAATTGAGTCGTTCGAGTCTTGTCCCCGAAGGCCAGGACTTCATCTTCCCAGGACGTTGTCCGCACGCGACATCACTCAAACAAAGGTCTCCGAAATCGGCTGAAATGGAGACTAAATGTGGCAGGTGGTGAGCTGTTGGAAGGTGAGCTGTTGGTCTAGAAAGCGATATGAACCATCAGTTCCATGGAGGATAGGGGTGCCGAACTGGGAGGAAGGATAGGGGTGCCCATAGATAGTGCCCATGATTCACTCACTGGATGGGTCTACAGACCCACCCCAACATCGAAGCCCTGGTTCAGATGAATTGCTTTTCTTCCTCCACAGAGAGAAACTCACAGACCCTGTGGGTTGGGAAAAGATAGGATAAAACCGCCGTCTCCGTTTCCGACATGCTGGTTTGGAGGAAGGTAAAAGATGTTACAAGGGCTAAGAGCTTCTTTGGATTGCTCATCTATCATCACCTATCATCACCTATCCCAGACACTCCATGTATGGCATATTTACCTACAGACAGGGGTGGTGCCAGGGGGGTCTGTCTGGCGCGGCAGTCCGCAGTCCCACTGGGTCGTGTCTGGGTCTCACCGACCCACCGACCGCCCTGAGGCCACATGGAGCTCCGCGTCGCCGCCACCAAGCCGCCCGGCGTCGACGACCACGGCGCCGTTGTCGCTTCGCGCGAACGCGGAACGCGTCGGGCGTCGCGCGGCCCAGGTGGAAGCTGGAAGATCCCATCCACCACGCGACCTTCTCGCCGGACCAGGCCGATGCGTTGATCGGTGAACACGGGTGACCCGAAGACCAAGCCGGAGAAAGACGACGAGACCGGGAGGTGAGGAACACGGAGGAGCCCAAGGGTGGACCGTGAAGAGAATTGGGATGCAATGGCGGGGGGATGTGTGTGTGTGGCAGGTGCCGGCTCTTTGGAACCGTAGAGAGATGTAGAACGTACATTTGGATAG